CAGTGCCAGTGAACTCTCCGCCCGACTGTGGGCAGTTCCAGCTTCCCCTCCCTGCACCTCAGTTTTCCCATCCATCCAAAAAGGGGGTTGGACTGGAAGGTCTCTAAACACCCTAACAGCTTGAAAGATTCCATTCTCTTCTCTGAATCTGCCCAGGGGGAGGCCTGGGGGGCTGGGGCACCGGCAGGGGCTGAGAATTCCATAGCAATTTGCATGTGAAAGCATGTTACTGCCATGGCTATTAGGGTGTGCGGGGCGGCTAAAGACAGGGCAAGGACAGTGAAAGTGTCAGGCTGGCCAGAAAGGCCCAGGCAGCCTCGGGATGGGAGTTGGGGGGAGGGAAGGGGGTGCCGTGAGGTGTGCATGGGAAGTAGACAGTGAGCCCCGCATCTGGAAGATTCCATCCAATCTTGAGTCCCCTTCTGGTCTGGGCCACCAATCAGGGGTCTGGTCCTTAGGGATGCCTCCAATCTGTTGTGTCCATGAGTGACTTGAGGAGCCATGTGAGGGGCCATGGAAGAGGTGCCCCCGCCCACGTCCCCGGAAGCAGGGGCAGGCAGCTTGTGCATTTTCAAGGTCTACCCCAAATCAGAGCCAAACTTCCCAAGGACCATATTTTCCTCCGGGTTATAATGTGTCTGCTGTTTGGTAAGTCGCTTCATGTAAACTTGTACCATTTGTCAATATAAATATTGTGCATATATAGGTTTGTTTGGTTCATTTATACACACACACCACATACATATTCTCTCTCTCTCCCCGTCACTCCCCAAAGTTAGTGTGCAAAAAGGACAGCAGCTCTGGCCTGTAAGGCAACAAACATGGTTCCTAGGCCTGACTGCCAAGCCTTCTCTGTGTGCTCTTGGGCCTCAGTTTCCTCACAGGGGTTGCAGAGGTGGGGCTTGATCTGAGAAAGAGCTCACAGAAAGAGGCCTGGCTTGGCTACTTCCTGCCCTCCAACTGCACAGATTCAACCCCAGCTGGAGCTGTCAGTCAACCAGTAACCCCCACCCATCGCTGACCCAGAGCAAGGACCCAGTCCAGTGGGATCCAGGCGTGTGAAGACTCTGCTGCAAGGTTGCTTTCTGGAATCTCCCTGGCTTTCGCCTGATGACCTGGAACTGAAGGAGCCACACAGAGCCTCCCCCTAGGAATCTGGGCCAAGGAAAGAAGAAGGGCGGGTAGAAGAATTCTTGCCGAAGCCAGATCTATCCATTCCCACTCCCACCAGCCTCTAGGCTGGCTACGAGAGATCAGCCATGAGGCCACAGGGACAGGCAAGGACTAAGGATCTGTCATGCAGTTTGGGCAGCTTCCTCCTGTGAGTCCGTCTCGCCCAGGTATCCAGAGCTGGAAGTTGGAGGAGGCAGGTATTAGAAAAGTAGGGTGACTTCTTATGAGGATATTTAGGAATGAGCCAAAGGCCAGCTGTGAGCAGTAATGATGTGACCAGTCAGGTCTTGAGGTGCAAAAGCAGAGTCTTGAGCTCTCAAAGCAGAGTACCCAGGAAGCTCAGCTCTAGGGCCAAACTTATTCATTTCATACTTCAAGGGAAAAACAACACCTTACTTAAAAACAACTGAAGTCCTTACTGTGGGCCAGTTAACATTTGTTGAAAAAAAACAATGAATGAAACTCATGTTAGAACCCAAGATTCAAAATCTGCATGTCCTCCATCCTGCCTCTAACACCCCCATCTCCCAGCTTGCTATGCAAGCAATGCCAAGAGTCAGTCAAGCATGTGAAGACTTTTCTAGAATGTGACCACTCAGGGAGCAGGAACCTTATCCATTCCTGTGCTATCACTGTACTCTGATGCCCAAACTAGCACAGAAGTTGGGAATTATTTCCCAAATGAGTTGATCTTGTGCAATATTACCCTGCCTGCCCCCATCCATAACAGTGTCATAGTAGAGCAGCCACAGGCCCTTCTGGATGAAAAGGTCCCTGGTGGCCAACTCCTCCCACCTCCCTATACCCCTTCACAAGTTCCCTGTGCTCCTAACCCCCAGCTTTGTTTCTTGCCTTTCTCTTCACCAGCTGCATAATTGATAATTAACCATTGGAAACAGAATTTAGAATTACTATTTCCCACATGCCTTTAAATTGCTTTCATTTTGGGCTCTGGGGCCCCTGTCCTGGGTGGGGGTTTGTGTTCTCAGCCGACTCCCAAAGTGTGTATGTGGGGGAAAGAGAGGGGGGTCAATGGGAGGGGGCGGGGCAAAGAGCCACCTACCAGGCACCAGCTGGGACCTCAGCCTCCCCCCAGATCCGACAGCCAGCTGTACAGGAGGCCGCAGCAGATGGGCGAGGAGGGTCCCTAGGCAGTCTGGGGCTGACTCAGCTGGGATGACAGTGAGGCTGTGACGTGCCCAGGCAGGACAGGAGGCCAGGCAGGCAGGCGGGCCGGATTGCCAAGAATGATTGATGCCAGGTGGCCAGAGGGCCACTTGCTCAGCAGGGACCAGCCTAGGATGGCCCCCATTGGGCCTGGTTTTCCCCTTTGGTTCTGTGGCTCACTCTCCAGCCTGTGCCCAGAGCGTGCTAGGTCATTCACATCCCTGTTGGTTCTTTGAGCTGCGGGGGGAGAGGGAAAGGGGCCCTCATGGGAATACAACACGGAGCAGTGCAAACAAATCATGAGAGCCTTGGCCTTCTAGCTCTGTTAAGGCCTATCTTTTTAGAGAAACTGAGACCCGGTGAGTACCTGCCTAGTTTGTCTTCATTTGGGGGAACTGGGCTCAGCCTGCGGAGGAAATCAGGCAGCCCCACCTTCACCTGGGAAGCAGCCTCTCTCACTGACTCACCAGGAGCTTGGGCCCAGCTGCGACAGGAAGGAGAGGCAAGGGTGGGGCAGGTCTGAGGCCCTACCACTGAGGCTCACAGCTGCCTCTGGCCAGCTAGGTCCCTCCCTGACCCAAACCAAAGGGAAGGGACGGGAGCAGATGGGAAGGAGGACTCCTGTTCTTCAACATCCCCAAGGAAGAAGCAGGCTTGCTCAGTCTCACCTGAGAGGCGGGGAGGGAGGACAGGTGTGATAGGGTGGGAAGAGGGGAGGCACACCCCTCCCTTGCTCTCAAGGAACTTCCCCTGACTGGCTGCTGGGCTAAGAAACGCCTAGGCCTACACCCTGGGGCTCCCATTGGCCTGATGCATGTTCTTGGGCAAGTCATTTTGGAGGTGAATCATTGCCCACCTGGCTACCCTCAGTCGAGGAGATTCAGTGAGTTAAATGTGTAAAGGTGTCTTGAGGGAATAAAATGTGGCAGGTGCTAGTTAAGTGAAGGACACTGGGTCAGGAAGAGCTACTAAACTTTGATGTGTGGATGAGCAGGGTGTGGACAACCTCCAAGCAGTAGCTGCCATGGCACCCGTGCCAGGACAAGCTAGAATAGGAGGCAGGAACGTGGGCTGCCTGACAAGCTGCCCCATCATTTCCTTGGCTTTCGCCCTCTGATTTTACTTTACACTCACAGCTCATTCCCATCACTCCCCCTTCGCCCTCCAGGAACTCCAGCCCCCCACCTGCAGGTATCCTGGGCTTGGCATGGGGGAGGGGATCCCTTTCTCCACCCTCTCCCCAGAAAGACCCCCCCCCCATCAGAGAACTGTGGGAAGGGCTCAGGCCGTACCCTAGGGAAATACACCAATGTGGCCTGAGCCAGCCCTGATTGGAGACCCCCTAGTCTGGATGGGGTTCAGGGGGGCACTCTGGGCAGGCATTCAAACAGCGGAGGCCCCATCTGATGCAGGCACTTCCTTTGGTTAATGAGAAACCAAATAAACAGCCTCTGCCCCAGCTGGCTCCGGGAGCACCCCAGGCCAGCCCAGCCCTGCTCTCGCCCAACCTCCCTTTCCTCCGCCCCGCTGGGGCCACGGCTCTCCTTCCCCTTCCTTCTCCATGTGCTCTCCACTTCCCTCAGAGAGAGAGAGAGAGAGAGAATGCCATGCCTGCTCCTTGGCTGGTTAACTGGGGCTTCCTGGTCTGGATCACTCACTCGCCCTTCCCTTCCTTCCTCCTCTATTGCCTTCTTACCCATTTTTAGCTGCTGGGATCTCACTTGTCCTCCTCCTGACATCTGTCTTTGCCATCTCTGCAGGGAGTTCCCCCTGCCCCCTTCGCTCCCCCTCCCCGCCGCCAAGACCCACAGGAGCAGAGAGTCGCCAGGCCCTGCTAGTCTATATCTCTGCCCAAGGAATCAAGGCCAACCCCTCTCTAGGGCCCTCAGCACTCTCCGTGACCTCAGAAAGTTTCTCTCATCAGCCTGGGGGAGGACGACCAGGTGGCTCTGGACTGCCACTGCCCACCAGAAGCCCCCAAGTAGGCCACACTGGTGGCTCTGATGTGGGCCAGCTTTTAACACAAGAGAAGGTAGTCTTCTGGCTCCCAAGTGCACCGGGCCGCCCACAACCACCCCACTAGCCAGTGGGCCACAGCTGCAGCTCAAGCCCTGGGAAGTTATTTCTACCCACCTGCAGGCATCCTCAGGCAGGGCAGGGCAGGGCCAGGCCTGCCAACAGGTCCCAGCCCTAGCGCCAGCCAGGTGGTGGCAGTAGTTGTAGACACACCCAAGTCCCCATGGAAACACCCCTTCCCCCCATCAATCTTCTGGAGCTGAGCGAGACTGGTGCCAGACTGCGCTGATGCCAGCGGCCTGTGCAACAGAGGTTACTGGTTGATCGGGGGATACAGTCCCAGAATCCATGACAACAAAATGAGAAAACGGAGAAGCGTGGCCAGGGAACTGGAGGGATGTGTTGCTCCACGGGGACCCCGACCCTCCCTCCTCCCACATCTGCCCTGAGCACCTTCGGTTTGGGTGCTGGCAGTCTCTCACATGTACACGTTTGTGCACATGCACACATACACATATGCATGTACACACTCTCACATGCCATTACCCAACATCATGACACCATTTTACTCATTTCTCCATGTGGTTATTTTTTTTTTTTTAGTTCTCATTTTTTTTTCTAAGAAAAAAGCAACAAGAAAATAATTCAGAGTTTATACAAAACATCTTTACATTATTTTTTTTCCAAAAAAGACTAGTATTTACACAAATGGCAACAGAAACAAAAACAAAAACAAAATACCCTTCCAACTGCCACCTGGAAGGGGCTGGCTGTTCTGCTCCCTCTCCCACCTGGCACTGGGGTGGGCACCTGGCCAGGAGACAGTGTGGAGGTGGATGGTGTGAGGCCCAGCTCCTTCCCTGGCTGCTCGGAGAGTGCCCACAAGTGCAGTCAAGTGGCAGTCTGTTAGCAGCCCTGCTGGCAAGGAGCTGGGGTCAAAGTGCACAGCGGGCTGACCCAGCCCTGGGCAGCCTGTTCCTCTTTTCCAGGCCCCAGCCCAAGACTAGGAGGCCAGCGGGAGCTGGGTGGGATGCAGAGTGCCCACCTGTGCTAAAGCCCAGAAAAGGAGCAGGCCACCTGGCCTCATACCCGCTTCCGTCTCCACCCTGGGCCTCTCTGCCTCCCCGCCAGACCACATGATGCCAAAGGTGGGGAGAGCACAGGGCCAGGGGGTGGGGGTGGGGGAGGAACTCCCAGCTCTGCAGGGCAAGTAGCCACCTGGGCACCTCACCTCCCTCCACCCCCCATGAGGTCATCTGCCTGCAGCAGCTCTCCGGTTCCCCAGGCAACAGCCAATTAAGACATTAATTACCGTGAGAGTGAGGGAGGCAGGAGATGCCCAAGAATCCCACAAGGAAGGGATTTTTTTTTTTTTTTTGGTGGAAGGGTGGCAGCCACGACCTGATTGGCAGGATCAGCTTTGTAGAAGGAGGTTCAGGAGGGGAGGGTGGGCCTCCTCGCCCAATGGCACTCTCTGTTTCCTTCATGGGCAGGGAATAGTCCTGGCCCGCCCTCCACTCCCAACATTGAAATACCAAGAAGTCTATAAAAGAAATGCCATCCTGTGCTTCCGGCTGGCCACATCCTGCCCCAAGCCTTCTTCTACTGGGTCAGGCCAGCCTCCGAAAGCCTGGGGAGGGGCTGCCTGCCTCTTACAGTTTTCCATTTTTCTTTAAAAAAAAAAAAAAGATGAAAATGAGTTGACAGCTTAAAAAAAAAAACATAAAAGCATTAAAAACAGTGATGATAGCGCGTGGACCAGCAGTCTTGGGAAAAGGGAGAGGGAGTGAGGGAGGGGCAGGGCCAGGGGGCCATCTCCCTGCCTGCTGTCCATTAGTGTCGAACCCTGCCTCCAAAAAAGGGGCGCCCCCGTAGAGCCCAGAGGCCTGGCCAGAGGGGGAAGGCACAAAAGCGTGGAGGGAGTTGGGGGCACAAGCACCCCCCTCCGAAGCCCAGGGGGCAGGGGAAAAGGGGAGAAATATAAAAGCCAAGAAACTACAAAAAAACTAAATAGAAAGGTGGGCACAGCTGGCAAGGGGAGAGGGACACAGGAGACAAAGGAGAGGTCCGGTCCAGGCCGACTTGTCCCTCCAGGGTGGGGGCCCAAGGCTGCACGGGGCCCTCAGACCTTGTAGTAGATGTTTGCCGGGCTCTGTGGAGGCATCTCCTGGACGATGTAGACGGGGTGCCCGTAGTCCCCACTCACCTTCTCGTAGTGGGGACAGTAGTTGTTCTCTGTAGTCCGTAAGGGGATGATGATGTCGCTGGGCTCAGTGCCTGCCGTGCCGCTGCCCCCCTTGGGGCTGGCCAGGGTGCTGAGCGAGAGCGCGGCTGCCCGCTGCTGTGTGTGCTTGCGATGCCGTTTCCGCAACTTCAGTAGCAGAACCGTGAGGAAGATGATGATGAGCAGGAAGATGACACAGCCTGCTCCAACAGCCGCAAACAGTGCCACCTTGGAGTTGAAGAAGCTGTCGGGGTCGTTACTTCCACCACTGCCTCCCGCACCTGGACCACTCTTCTCTTCCTGGTTCACAGTCTCTACAGAAGGTGAGGGAGGGAAGGAAGGCACAATGAATGAGTCAGGGGAAGAGGGCCAGCCAAAGTTAAAATCACAGAAAACGAATGCTGGTGTGAGACACCGGTACGGCTGCCCCTCTTGCTGTCCCAACTAGCCAGGGCCAGATGGCTGATCTGAGGCCCAGCGTGTATTTCTATAGCTGAGTGGGCGGGGGGGAGGGGGAGAGCGGCTGAGAGGGTGACCAAACAATGGCTTCCACCCTCTGGGAAACACATCAACACTCACCATGCTTGGCGTCCGAGTCACCCAGCGGGCCCCGACCAGGGACCTGTGTGGCTGTCTTCACGGTGTTGTCTGACTCCTTGCTGGGTCGGCTAGTGGTCAACTGCTCAGGCGTCACCGCGTTGGGATCTGAGGGCAGAGTTAGATGGCTGAGACGGAGGGTCCCTGCCAGCCTGGGTGCCCACAACCACACAGGCTAGGCCAAGAACAACCCAGATGCTGCCCCTCCCACCTCACCCCTACTCCCCGAGGCTAGCATCCAGGGGGGCCTTTAGACTGGGCACTTACCTTGCCCAACTTTCATGACGATCTTCATGGTGCGGGTACGGCACACACCTCCCTCCCGGTTCTCTAACCCCTCCAGGCTCCCGTTGGATGTTGCTGCAGGAAGAGGCCCAGGAAGTTTAGGCGGAGTCAGAAAGACACACAGGTATGTCAGCGTTACGCAGAAACCCCAGTGCCCTTCAAGGAGAGACAGAACTGGGCGGTAGAAGAGGCAGGTAGCCCCCAGCTCTCCGGGAACCTTCCTACTTCCCTCCACCCTGCTGGGAAAAGAAGCCAGCTGAGCCCAGGTCCCTTCCCTGGGGACACTGTCCATCTCTTGGGATAGTGCCAGGGTCCCTTCTTTCCTGTCAGAGGCAACCATAAAGGCACAGCAGCCATCTCATTGGCAGACAGTACTAAGAGGCAAAGAAATGGAAACATATCATGAGGGAGGTCCCCATACCCACCCCCCACATGCCCAGGCTGGAAGGAATTCTGGAATCAGGGTCAGGAGACCTGGGCAGGAGTCCCAATCCTGTCCCTGACTCCCTGTGTGATCTAGGCCTAAGATGCTCCTTCACTCTCGGGGCCTCAGTTTCCCATGCAGAGAGGCTGAACAGCTGGCTGATCCCGAAGGGCTCTGCCAACTCTGCCAGTGCCAAGATTAGATCTTGAGTGAGCAAAGAAAAGAGGAGCAAAAGCAACATGAATTGGAGGCCTCTCCCACCCAACCCTTGCAGCCAAGGCGAGCTGGCAGCAGGCTGTCTGATGGATACCGGGGCCAGGATTTCAAGGCCAGCCTGGGAGTGGAGCGTGCCAGTCTTCCAAGAGGATCAAATCAGGTGGGCCTGGACTGTGTGTGCTTGGGCTACATGCCTTCGAAGCTGCTTAGGGCTTGAGCTAAACCCCTCGGTAGGAGCCCAGGGCAGGCAGGAACTTACAGGTAATGTAGTAATCATGGTGCTTCTTGAACTCCAGGCCCATGTAATTGGGGCTGAACTCCTGGAACTTGATGGTAAAGCGGATTTCCTGCTCTGGCCTGTTGCAAGTGACCAGGACGTTGGGGTCTAGCACAGTGCTGCAAGCCGCCGCCTGCTCGGGCCGTACCAGGTAGAGCTTATAGTACTCATAGGGCCGCCCTGCTTCCGCTCGAGGGCAGATGATGTCCAGCTTATCGCCAATCTTCGGGTAGATCACCAGGCCCTTCCCACTCAGGAACCTGGCCAGAAAGGAAGAGATGGTCAGCCTCCGCACTGGGGTGGGGCGGCCATGGAGAGGAAGGGGGGGAGGAATCCCAGAACCAGGGAAGTGCACAGTGCGGGCTAGGCTGGGCCGCCTACATGCAGATAGCGACACTAGGCCCTTGTGCCCCTGCCACCATGCTCAGGCTGGGGGTGGGGAAAGTGCCACCCTGCCAGCAGGGTGTGGAAGGGGTGGCCCATGGGCAAGGCTGCCAGGCTTTGACTGCTTGACAGGGTGGGGCACTGCCTGGCTGCGGGGAGAGCCCTTTGTCCTAATGTGGCATTTCCGCAGGGGGCTGACGTGGCCAATGGGGCTGGGGATGAAGGTGCCAGGGCCAGGCTGCTTGGAAATGGTGGTCCTGTACCCCCACCCCCCTCCCAACACATTCAGATTCCTGCATGGCTGCTACTTCCTCCCCTACACACACACACACACATACACACACACACACACACACACACACACACACACACACACACACACACAGATCAAGTCCACACCTGCCTTAGCCACTACCCCACAGCTCCCAGTCAAAGGCCAGGGGAGCTCAACCCATCTGGGACCCATGCCTTCTCCTTCAACCTTGCCAATCTTGGGTACGATGGGGAGACAGGAACAGGCATTTCCTGGAGTCAAGGGATGATGGTCATGGTCTCTGGCCAGTTGCAGTGTCCTACTGCTGACCCATCCCACCCCTATACAGCAAGAGTTGGAATTTCCCAACTTGACCATTCTAGTCTCACTCCCAAGGACACAGGGAGTAGGGGAGGGGTTTCATCAGAGACAACCAGAAAATACACGACAGGGTCCCAGAAACCATCAGCTCTTTAAGAGTACTTCAAAAAGACAGCGTTAAATGGACATGAAAGACAAGTTCTCTTCAGTATAACAAGCGTTTCTGAAATCTATGTGTAGTTTTTCATAACGGACATGTTTCCATGACCTTAGCAAAGGCTCCTTGTATTCTTACCCCTCTCTAGCACACATGACTCCCACTCCAGAGCCCCAGAGAGATGGACAAATGCCTTTTGAGCCAGATTTATTTTGTAACGTAGCAGCCCAGATGAGGGGGATAGCAGAGGAGGTCAGCTGCCCAAGGCCACCTAGTCACATGACTGTTCTTGCCTAAAAGCTTAGAGTAAGCAAGCTGTGCTCGGTCGGCCATTTCTGAGCTCGGCAGGTTGCTAGCTGAGAGCAAGGCAGTTCCACTTGGAGACAAAGAACACAAACTTCACAAGGAGAGTCTAAGGCTAGGTCTGTACTTGCTCTTGGACCTTGGGAGAGCTGCCTGGTCTCACTGAACTTCCATTTGCTCACTTCTAAATAAGCCAGCAGTGCAAACAGCCCCCTCCCTCCAACAGTTAAGGAGACATGCAGTAACACATGGAGAGTGCCGACTACCCAGGGCATTCAATTGCCTTGCCAAAGCAACCTTTTCGGTGGCAGGAGATCAGGCACTAACATCAAGTGTTAGGAACCCAGTGTGGTTTCTTTGAGGAGAAATACCAAAGGAAGATAGGACACCCCCCACGGTCACACACTTTACTGGCTAGTTCGGGTCAGGAAGGAAGAGAGCCCACACTCCAGCGACAGACCGCTCCAGGCAATGTGTAGGATACGTATGTGAACAGTGGTGGAAACAGTCAGTGACAGGGAGGAGATGGCATCCCGCAAGTGGCAGGGTGAAAGTGGGTCCTGGGTGTGGAATCAGAAGTCAACACACGGCAAGAGAGGACAGTGATGGTTGGGAATAAACAAGAGTGGAAGACTGGGGGGGGAGGGGAGGAGAAACCGGGAATGGGGTGGAAAAAGACCCGTGGGGGATCAGATTGAAAGAGCGGTCGCCTGGAGAAGAATGGCTTGCGTGCCACTGGTGACAGATCCTCCAGCAGGAAAGACAATCAGCAGCTGAAGGCAATGCTTAGAGGAGGAAGCGACACTCTGGTTCACAGGCAACTATAATCATTTGAGAAGAGAGCGGCTCTACTTCCTGAGGGTTCATTATAAGGTGGGGACAATAAGTAAGCAACGGTGGCCTTCACACCTGTCAACCCAGCAGGTAAAGGAAAAGAGCCCCCGGTCCACACCCAAAGAGACTCGGCCTAGCTGGAGGCTGCCATCTTAATGTGGGAAGCAGGAATCTAGAATGAGATGGCCTTCCCCTTAGCACCTACCTTCACAGATGTATAGAGCTACAGGGCCACAGAACAGAGCAAAGGCTCCCTTCCCCATGTACCACACAAAGCCAAGGAGTTTCATCGGAGAATTTTTTTTACTTTCTAATGCTTGTGTCCAGATGACAGGGTTAGAGAGCTTCTAGCATCCTGGAGCCTGAAGGAACTTATTTTTTAAAGATTATTTTTTAATTAGAAAGGCAGATATACAGAGAGGAGGAGAGACAGAGGAAGGTCTTCCATCCCATGGTTCACTCCCCAAGCAGCCACAATGGCTGGAACTGAGCCAATCCGAAGCCAGGAGCCAGGAGCCTCTTCCAGGTCTCCCACGCAGGTACAGGGTCCCAAAGCTTTGGGCCATCCTCAACTACTTTCCCAGGTCACAAGCAGGGAGCTGGATGGGAAGCGGGGCTGCCGGGATCAGATCCAGCGCCCATATGGAATCCAGGTGCATTCACAGCGAGGACTGCTATGCTATCGCGCCAGACCCTGGAACTTCTGAGACCTATTTAGTTCAGGGTTTAAGGGTGACAGAATGAGTGATCCAATGCACATTTCCGTTGAAGACAAGTTCTCAAACACAATTCAAGGGCCTAAAACCTCCCAAGCTGCTAACTCCCAGGGCTTTTACCAGTTTTAGAACAATGGCTGAATCCTTCTATGGTTGTACCTCCACAAGACATATGAATGCAGCTACACAGGGGGTGCGGACAGGAGGACAGGCCAGCTCATTCTTTGAACTACTCGGGCCCTGGCTTACTCGCCAGGGAGCTGAGTCTTATCCTGAGTACAACATTAACTACTCAGGCGCCAGAAGCCTGGGATTGGAATTGGGTTTCGGGCCACTTGAGGTTCTACACTGAGGAAACGCTTGTCAACGTGGTGGGGGAGGGGCAAGAAAGGAGGACTATTGCCCCAACATCCCTCAGCTTCTCTTCAACCTCAGTGAACAGGCTTCATAAATATGCATTAGCTCATTTGCATAGCAGCTGGCAGAGGGAAACTCACCTTCCCCTAAAGTGTAGAAGGGAGAAGAGCCTTGCCTGACCTGCCCTTGATCCCCTCTATCGGTGCCTCCTTAACATCGCTCCCCACCTCACCAGGCAAAGTTTATCTTGAGCTGTGAAGCCCAAGAAAGGGCAAGTGGCACATGGTCCTTGAGAACGAAGCTTAAAACCAGGTACATCATTAAGTACACTTTACAGGAAACCCTCTGGGTCTCCCCTTTCAATCCCCAAGTTGAAGCTAGGAATAAGAGGGAAGGGCGAATAGATCAGCTCCCCTCAAATTAAGCTCTTTAACCCCTACCTTTCAAAAACTACTACTTCTACCCCCCCCCCCCAATATCAAGCCAAGCTTTCCTGCCTGGGGCCACCCTCAGACAAAGCGCTTTTCTGGAAAATAAGGGGATTGACATGGCCCAGCAGGAAGGCCGAAGCAGGTCGCCATGGTAACTCCTGAGGCCTTCTCTCCTTTAGCCTCGGATAGCCTTGGGACCCCAGGAGCCACCCCAGGAACGGGGAGGGTAGCCCAAGTCTGCCATCCCAGCTCCCACCCTGTGGCCTCCTTCCCCTCCACCCTAGCTCAAGGCCCTTAGTCTATCTATGGTGCACTTGGAAGGATGACCATGACTGCTCAAACGAAACCTGAGATTGAAAAATTCAGAAGAGTCTAGAAACAGTAGCCCCCCCCCAAGCCCTGCACTCACCAGAAGCTGAATGTGCCCACACCCCACTGACTCACACTTCTGCTGCCCTGATGAGCTCTTTTTCATCCATGTACATGGACTCTACAAGAGAGGGGAACTTAAGCTGGAGCCAGCAGGTGCTGAAAGCTGGCTGCACCCCACCAGCTCTTCCTTCCCTCTTACCCTTTCCTCAGACTCTAGCAACTTGGGGTCAGAAAGTTAGCCAAAGGGGAGAGCCTGGTCCCAGGCCACCCAAGTCTGAGTCTGGGAGAAGACTCTAGCCATGTTCTTGATTCAGTGATGCCCCCACTCCCCACCTACGTCCCTGGGTCTACACTTTCAACAGTGGCAAGACCCATGGAGGATAGACCCCCTAAAGCCAGAGCTCAAGTCTGCTCTCATCCCAGCTAGGGTGGGGAGCCCCCAAATTAAAGGCTCCTCTTTCACTCCCCCAGCTCCACCCAGCCCCTGAGGCAGCAGGAGCAGGCCTGGCATGTCCTATCAGTGCCCGCCCAGGCGTGGGTGGGCAGGCACAGCAGCTGGGTCCTGGCACACACACAGCTCTGCTGGGGGCAGGGAAACCATGAGAGTCCTAGGGGAAGTCACCCTCCCCTCTTATACTGAACTATGTCCTCCCCTCTGCCCGACCTGGCCAAAGTTAAAATCCACGGGGGTATGCATGTGGGGAGTGGGCAGTACAGTTAACACCCTCTTCCTCTTGTCTGTTTTCTGATGAGTTAGTGAGAGGAAGAGAGTCTAGGCCCGGAAGGGACTGAAGGTGCTACTCAGAGCTCAGGGTTTTGTGTGGAAGGTGGGGAATACCAGGCTATAAGCTGTCTCGTTCAGCCCACCCCAGCAGGCTGCTGGTCCTAAGAGACCTAACAAGATCAAACAAGGGAGCCAGAGCACTTTTGAGCATGAGTCACCAGTACAGATGCACGCACACCTGTGAGGTGAGAGGGGCAGCAAGGGGCAAGCGGCCAGCACGTCTGGCCAACCCCAGGTCCAATTAGCGCCTCTCCTGGCTTTCCAAGTCAGCAAGATGGAGTGCACAGAACAGAAGAGGGCACAGCTCTGCTTCTGGGTCAAAGTCACTTCTCTTTTCTGGGTATGTGCCTCCCTCATCTGGAAAATGGGGCCAATACCTACATTGCAGGGCTGCTGGAAGCATCTGATGAGCTCATGTGGGAGAATGTGATGTAAGCAGAAGGCGCTGCCTGACTATTAGTGAGCATGCCAAAGAGAAGGCAAAAGGTATTTGAAGTCGCTCACACTCCTGGCTGCTGGCATCCCTGAGCCAAAACAACTACCACAAAAATACACTCACCAGGGGCTGCTGTGGTCTGCAGGGCCAGGAGCTCAGCATGTGGCTAGGAGACAGCCCTCCTCCACTTCCTACCAGCTCCCCTAATCATCACAGGGTAGACCCTCTCCCAAACCTGGGGCTCCCATGGCAACCAGCAGCCTCCTGGCTGGCTCACTCTCAGCATGGTGCTAAGTGCAGACAACAGTGACACCCAGGAGTAGCCAGGCCCACCCAGCCCCATTAACCTGCAGCTGATGAGGCACCCAAGCGTCTGAGGGAAGAAGGGAAACCCTCCATTCACTCATGCTCCACTCTAACCCCACAGGCCCTACCTGCCCATGCCTGGCTGCCCTGGGTAGCTGCGTTCAGGGACGCATTAGGGGTGGTGGGATCAGAAGAGGCACAGGCAAGCAGGGAATTTCAGGAGTTGCAGGGGTCCCCGTACCATCGGGGGCCTCCACCTGTGGCCAATCAGCCACAGCCTAGAAGAGGTCAAGTCCTTTGCCTCCCCAAGACCAAAGTGAGCTGGAACAGCTGTGGTGGTGGTGGGGGGAAACCACTTGGGCCTGTAGCTGGCAAGCAGGGGTTGGGGTCTGCAGCTGCCCTCACCCAAGCTGGAGTCAAGGGTCCCGGATGCCAAGCGGAACCTCTCACCCCCACATCCCCCTGCCACCAGCCCCCTCAGAGGGAAGGTTTGTAATGTGAGCCCAGGCACATTCCCAATCCCTGGAGGTGGAGGAACCTGAGTGGGGGGCAGCAAGGGGTCACAACGGGCCTCAGAGACTGAACTGTGGCAGCTGGACCTGGCTGAGGCCTCAAGTGTGATGCCTGCTGGCTTCTCAGGGCTCCCTGGGGCGGGGGCCACCCTGGGGACTATTTTAATCACTCTTGCTCTCTCAAATACATACACACTGCTTCTCACTCAACTCTGGCAGGACAAACTCAGCTCTTCCACCTTCAAGCTAGTGGGACACAAGTGACAAGACAGGCTAAAGGGGCAGCAACTCCTGCCGCCCAGGGACTAGCACCCCAAAAGGCCCCAGGGAACCCATGTGGGCAAGAGGCTGGGAGTCCACAGGGTGTCCTCTCAGCTCTCCTCCCCTCCCCAGGAGAGGCTGGGCTGCACCCTGGAACCTGCAAGCCCCCAGCCCCAGCCCTTCTTTATTTTGATTCTTTTTTTCCAAAGGAGGAAGCAATTAAGTGGGGGTTTATAGGCACAGGGAGCTTTTTTTTTTTTTCTTCTGGTGGTGGTAGGGGGTGCTGCCAGCTCCTGACCGGGCCTGGCTGAGGAGACAGACCAAAAGACAGGGAGATGGAAACGAGAAAATGAGCGTGCAAGCGAAAGCACGGGCATGTGCGAGAAACAAAAGGACTTGAGAAAAAGAGGCCGAGAGTGAGAGTGACGGAAGAGTGAGGGAGTGTGAGAGAGACTGAGAGCAGGCGAGCCTCGCTGGAGAGGGGAGGTGAGCTCTGCTCGCCCAGGGTGTGAGGGGGGACGACCCAGAGCGGAAAGTGAGAGACACACACAGAGAGAACTGTTTATTTGAAAGACTGTGGCAGCCCGAGGCTTGGGCGCGGTGGCAGCAGAGGCAGCCCCCAAAGCTTGGGGAGAGCTGAGGGCAGTGCCTTTCTCTTGCCCTCCCCAACCCCCCTACGCCAACACACACAAGCACAGAGAGAGAGAGAGAGAGAGGCGGCAGTGGCTGCATTCCAGCCCCCTGAGCAAGAGTGCCCCAGGATCCCTTCCAGCTCATCTCCAGGATCTGCCCCACCGCATGGTGGCATTTAGGCAGGTTCCACTTCTCAGTCACCATCTTCACCTGTCTCCGCCGCCGGCCAGCCCAGAACATCCGCCTCCGGCTTGGGGTCTGCGGGGAGCAGGGGTCAGAAGGCAAGGCAAGCTCGCAGAACCTGCAAGCTGGATTCTGAGCGCTCAAGGCTCAGCACACAAAAAGGGGGCAGCTTGGACAGATCTGGTTTCTCGGCAGTCGGTCCTCCTCCCCGCACCCCCACCCCCTGCAGGAGGGCTCCTTTCCAGCTGTGAAGCTGCCTGCTATCTCTGGTTAGAGACCCGGGAGAGCAATTAGGTCACTCCCATGAGCCCCTGTGAAGGGCTACCCCAGGCGGATTGCAACTCCACTGGCTCCAGAAAAAGCTCTGTAGCCTCCACCCCCACCCCCGTGGGGAATTGCACACTTCACAACCTTGTCTCCCCAACCCGCCCCGGGCGGGGGGGGGTGGAGTCCTAGCCCAGGGTCTCCCTAGGCCATTTTAAGTCCCTGCTGTTAGCACACTACTGCGCCCCCCAACCGCCCCCCCCCCGGCAAGTTTAGCTTTTAAGTAGGGTCAGGATTCTTTCCCATTCCCTTTGCTTAACTCAAGCAGAGCTCCACTCTGCCCCTACTTAAGCCATCTTCCTGATCAGTAACAGGACCCCCTACGTTTATCTAAGGAGACCCAAACTAAAGAAACTACCTTCTCCCACTCTAGGGCTGAGAAATTCAAGGCCCCTGGCCCCTGGGAGGCCGAGGCGGTCAGGAGCCTGGAAAAGTTAGTGGAGAAGTGCGTAGAAAGAGATCAAAGATTCAGGAAAAGGGGAGGCACTAACGCAGCAGGTCAAACCACCCACCCCCCATCCACTGCCTGCAAATTGGGCTTGGGAGCACACTGCCACCGCGTCCAGAAGATAGGGAAGAAGGAGAGATTTTGACCCTGAGTTCCAACCCCTGGCTTGAATGCCAAAAGCGAAAAAGGTCCAGAGGTCAGCACCACAGCCCCTGAGAGTCTGGAAACAGGCCAGGAAACCACCGCCCTGAAAGGTGTGTGCCGTGTGTGTGCGCGTGTGTGTGTGTGCGCGCGGGGGGGGGTAGCACTTGGAGAGGGAAAGGAGAAATAAAAGAATCTGCTTTATATAACTGCCCCCCCAAACCCTCGGGGAAAGCACAGCTCCCCAATCTTGGGGATACAGAACGGTGGCGGTGGTGTGCATACGCGGGGGGGGGGGGGAGGACAACGGACCTGCCTGGACAGGAATCACTCCTTTCCCACCCACCTCCCTCCCACCTCCCTTACCCGCCTGCCCGCCCGCTCTGCCGCCACTCTCCACCCGGCGATCCCCTCTGGAAGCTGTGCTGCCCGTTCCATTGGACCCCCGACGGGTGTTGGATCGAACCCGCCCCCCCCCACACAACCCCTCTCCCACTCCGCCCCTCTCCACCCGCCGCCTTTGTGAGCCTGAGATCGGCGCCCGCCTTTCTACCGCCCCGGCAGGGAGAAAGGGGAGGGGGTGGCAAGAAGAGACGGCAAAGCGAAAAGGCAGGAGGTAAAACGGGGAAGAAAGAGAAATGAAAATGGGAGAAGCCCAAGTGGGGATGCGGGCGCTGCCACCCGCCCAGCGCGCTGGGTCCCGTGCCCTGCTACCCCCACACCTAATCAAAGGAGGAGAAGCCCATGTTCCGGCCTCATTCCCCGCCTCGGTATGGCTCGCTCCCTGAGCGGCACAAGCCACTCCATACATTCCCAGGGGCCCCTGAGAGGGCTGCGTTCTCGCCCCCCACCCTGCTCTTGGGTGCGCTCGGGCTCCCCAGCTCCACCCGCTGCGACCATCTCCACTCGATCCCGGACAGGAGGAGGTGAAGACCGGGAAAGACGCGGGGTCACAATCGGGCCGAGAGCCCCCCCACCACCACAACCTCCCACTGCACCCCACCCCACCTCGTCGCACCCGGCCCCACCCGCCCGCAGGAAAACACACTCGAAAAAAAGCCGGAGACAAAATGGGGCGCCGCTCCTCCTCCGGACACCTCCCCGCACGCACTGGGAGGCGCGCGGCCTCACCCCGAAGGAGTGCCTCCCACCCTCTCCGGGGACTAGAGCAGCGAAGTTAACTCACTTGGGGTTGAGAGAGCTCCAAGACACGGGCTCCAGGTTCTTGGCCAGCGGCGTGGCGAGCCGGCACAGCGCCAGCACGACCATCACCACAAGCCAACGCTGCCCAGGCCGGGCCATCTTCCTGGGGGCAGGCTGCACTTCGGGCTCCGCTGGCGCCTCCTTAGGAAAGCTCGCCTCGCCTTGCCGTGCCGCGCTGCGCTCCGAAGCGCTCAGGCGCCCATTCTCCGCAGTCGCCGGCCTTGAAGTGCTCCCCTGCCGCCGGCTTCGGTGTCGCTCTTCTCCTCCCCGCCGGCCAGGAGGACTCACTGGGCAGACGCCCCCAACCCGGGCATGGGCTGCGGCCTCGGAGGGCTCGCTCCCCTGGCCTCTCCGCCGCACGAGGTGCGACGGGGGCTCTGCGCCCCCGGGTGATCCCGCTCGATTCCACTCGGCTCCCCAAGAAGCTTCGGGACTGCGCGCCCTTTCGCCGACGGCGCTTCCCCGCCGAGGACTCGGTAGCCGCTCCGATGCCTCGAGCGGTCTGCGTTCGGTGTCCCTGGGAAGAGAGGGGGATCTCCCCACAACACGAGCTCGGTCCCCAGGCTCCCAATTGGGTTGCCCCGGTACGGACTCCGTTCCTCCGGGCCACACTGGGACTCCGGGCTGTGCGCCCCCTCGACAGCGTCTATCTATCTACTTCAGCGCGGGCCCCCGCTCACGGTACTTAGAAGAGCGGGGAGACGCTGGCGAGTGAGCCAGTCCCATGAGCTGGCGCCTTGGAAGCCTCGGCTCGGTGGCCCGGCAGCCCGGTCGCCTAGTGCTTGCTCCCGGCGGTTGCGCCCGAGCCTGTGCGGCCGCGGCGAGAATCACACACCTCCCACTGCTGTCCAGCGCGTATCGACTCCCTCCGCCGCCGCCGCCGAGCTGTCTACTCCCCTGCTCAGGCGAACGCAAGGCCAACCCTGCTTGCTTGTAGCCAATCGCAAACGCCGGGACGGGGTCCTTGGCCCATGCCACGCCCCTAGAGCAGGAAGGGGGTGGGGCCTGAGAGAGCTCTTAAGGACGCCGCGCCGCCGATGGCACCAATGTTCAGTGTGCGGCTCCTGCGGTTAGGGTTGGGTCACGCTTAGTCCTGTTCCCAGAACGCTCAGCCCGTGGGAAGTTGGCGCTTCACTCGAGCTGCCGGCCTGCTTTGCTCCCCGCTCGTCCACTAACCTGGACCATACAGGCCGAGTCCCACGGACCTGTAAGATAACAATCCTTGCATCGTGGTTTTGCACACACCACTCCGAATTCCTGCTCTGTGCCCCCATCTCCATGGCGAAAACAGCTAGTCTCCTCTCCGCCTCGTCTCTATCTGGGGTCTCAATGGGCTTCCCTCCTTCTGCCCTACAGAATGCGCTGGCACTTGCACTTCGACGCACAGTGCCCAGCGTACAAGTGGTTAGCCATGGGTGGGGGCGCCTCGGGGGATCAGGCTTTCCAAATCTCAGCCTTAAAAGTGAGCTCGTGGGATCCCTGGAGTCCAAATATACGGTTCTGTCCTGTGTGGAGACATGGGCAAGGCCCTGGGCTAGGCAAACGGGAAAGAGAGCGGCCCTCATCAAGGGAGCTACCTGGAGGGCTAAAAAGAAAAGGCCGTGGGCAGGGACCTTTGGAAAAGGCCAAGAGACCATATCCTGGCCCGGAGACGCTCAACTCCAGCCTGTCTCGGCTTCGCCATCGGGGTCTTTGTCTCCCATCCTCGGCCCATTCTCCCCGCCCCTCCTTGCCTCTTTGCTTATAACTTGGCTCAGTCCCATAGCTCAGACCCTCCCGGTCGGACCCACTCTCCTAGGTCGCCTCGCCGCAGGCCTACTCGTGTGCTAATGTCTCCCCCTGCTGGTCTTCTATCACATTGCGGACGACTGGCGGACGCTGTAGAACACCAGACCTAGGACCAGCCAGGAGCCTACACCCAGACCCGCCCCCCAGCATGGAGAGGAAAGCAAACAACTACGAGAGACGTCTGGATTTGGGCTTGGTTTGCAAACTGCCCATGCTCAAAAGTCTCCATGCTGTTTTTTTCTGGGGATAACTTGGTGAGCAACATTCCCCAAGTGGTCTGCCACTTAACATGTCGTCTCACCTCCAGTAATTCAGTTAATAGGAGAGGCAGCTATTGCATCTTTGGACGATCTCTGTGATTCTAGGATGGATATGTAGTCTGCCTCCTGCCCTCACGGACAAGACCCTGAGCGTGAGACAGCTCTGGGAACCCAGGGAGCTCCCTCCCAGCTCCCAGCTTGGCTTTGCATTGTGCTGTCAACAAACAAATGAACAGAACTAGAGGCCAAGGATCCAGCACTGGTCTAGCCAGGACATCAAAGCCTGAATAAAGAAAAGCTGCCATTGTTGGGATTGGTGTGGCCATTGAGGCCACCACCTGTGCCATTAGCATCCCAAATGGGCACAGGTTCATGTCTGGTTGTTCCACTTCCGATCCAGGTCTTTGCTAAAGGCTTGGGAAAGCAAAGGAGGATGGCCCAAGTGCTTGGATCCCTGTGCCCATGTAGGAGACTGGAAAAATGTTGCTGGCTCCTGGCTCAAGTCTGGTCTAGTGCTGGTTGTTGCAGCCATATTGAAAGTCAACCAGCAGATGGAAGATGTCTCTCCCTGTATCTCTATGTAACTCTGGACTTTCGAATCAATACATATTTTTAAAAGTATGTTTATTTGGGTACGCAAAGTTTTCCCCATAGGGAAACCCTGCCAACTTGGCTAGCAGTCACTACCCCTCCCCTAAGCCTCCCAGGCCATGGTATATGTAACCTGCATGTGTCGGGCGGGGGGGAAGAGGAAGCGTCAAGTGCACTGATGTTCCCAAAGTGAGCATCCTCTCTATTCCAAATCTAGAGCTGGGCCGACCCTTAAGAGGAGCCCCAGAAAGTGCTGCCCACCAGGAATGCCCCCCCCAAAAAAACCCACCAAAGTCAGGATATAGAGGCTCCTGGGCTGAGGGCTGCAGAATGGTTGGACACAGACATATGGTACAGCCTCTGGAGCTCAGTTTGGCATGCCTGCAGGAGGCAGGGCGGGTGGAGCTGTAGAGCCACAAAGGTGCCTGGGGGTCACCTGGCTGTGCTTCTGTGGTTCCTGGTAAGCAGGGAGCAGCCTCGCTGCCTGCCCAAGCTGCTGGCGAGGGGAGAATGAGATATGCCAAAGGGCTCATCAGTACACCCAGCCCACCGCGGGGCTTATGGAATGAAAACTCTTAACTCTCACAGTGCCTCCTAGGCAATCACCCTCGCTCCCCTCATGGACACACATTGTTATCCATTAACAAAGGTTTGGCATGCCCCATGTAGAGTCTGCAGCACCTGTCGCCGGTCTCACACATCACACACTCACACATGCCCTCCTGCACCAACTTCCATTCTTTCTCCCCCGTCCATTCTTTTAGCATTCGGGCACCTGCCCTCATGTTCACTGGTATCCTTATACTTGACCTCTCCGTGCCTGCTTTGCACTCTGAGACACAGAGAGGTAATTTACGCAAAGATAACACAGTCATAGGGTGGCCAAGTCAGGACGGGAACCTCTTAGGCCATTCTCAGCTCAATCATGACTTTCACAGTGATATCCCACAGCTCTAAGAGAGGAGTGTATGTGCCAATATTGTGGGCCTGGGGGAGCTGCCAGGTACAGCCAGAGCGAATCAAGGTTTGTGAGGTAGAAACCCCTCCCCTCGCCCATGCACAGTCATCTCTGGCCTGCCCCTTACCTCCTGTCTGTCCCCCAGCAGATTAACTGCTTGTGCATGTACTGTGCTTACGCACACACACACATTGGTGTTGCTCACAGGGTGAGGGAGTGCTGCCATTTGTGCAGTGCCCAGGGCAGACATTTGATTTCTCCTCCTAACACCCTCCTCTCCCCACCCCTCTGAAAGTTATTGGGAGAGACCTGTTTCAGAGCTGAGCAGGATGAAGCACCAGGCTCAGTCTGGCCATATGCCCTGTCCCCGCCAGGCCTTGGCCTTGCAAAGCCCTCCTTGCTTGGCCAGCTGAACACCCCCATCCAGGCCTGATCCCTGCTCATCCCTCTACTTGCATTTGCCTCCTAGCTGAGCCCGGCTTTGGAGGTTGGGGGCACATATAGAGGAGGGCTTGTGTTGGGCCCAGATTGCCCTCCTGTTGCCATGAACACCTTGCTTTGCCCAAGTCACTCTAGCTGCAGGTCAGGCTGAGAGCAAGCCCAGAGTGGGGCCTAACCCTCCCACTCTTGTTCCTTTATGCCTCTGGGTTGGCTGCATCACACACCTGGGGGCTAGCTGGAGACTAATTCCAGACGTGTGAGCTCAGGCAGCCTGGCTTTGCTACAGCCCTGGCGATTTCCTGTGGCTGACACTGAGAGAGAGAGTGGTCAACAGCCAGTCACAGGTTCTACCCCAACCCTTCCCCATCTCTGCCTCCGCTGCAAGCTCAGTGTGGGGGTGTTTGTATGAAGATCCCCTTGATCTGCCAGGTGTCTGCCCCGGGAATCGAAGGAGCCTATCCCTCTCTGACATAACCCTGTTCTGTCCTCTCACTTTATCCCTTCCTCATAGCAATCTAGCCCTACCCTGGCCACCTGCAGAACTGTCCCCAGGCTTCTTGTCCCACACATGCAAATGGCCCACCTCTGCCCCCACCAAGAGTCCAGAAGAACACAGGTGAGAGCCAGAGCAAGACTCGGTGTGCCTGGCAGGTGGACGAGGCTGCAAACTACAGCGGGGACCCTGGGCTCCTCAGAAGCTGCGCCTTCAGTCATCCTCTACCCTCTCATGTCCTCCAGGTCTCTGCCAGGCTTCCCCCAGCATTCCCCTCACCCTCTGTGCCCCATGAAGAGACACCCCCAGTCTGTAGGGAGTGAGCCTGCAGCACCCTGATCCAGTGCACCTGTCACTGCTTCACTCTCGTTACCTGGGGAATGTGCAAGAAGGTGGGGGAGAGGCTGGGCCATTCATCACTGTCAGGCTCAGGAATTCTGCCAAGGGGAGGAAGCAGCTGTCCCCACCTGTCACTGACCCCAAGCAGCCCAGTTCTCCATCCCAAGTAGTCTTGGGAGAGAGAGGGTGACGTTAGCCCGGTCTTACTGCGGGTTGTATAGGGACCACCGAGGACAGAGCAGGTCCCATAGTCTCAGGGAATAAAGCCCCTGGGGAGAAGCAGCACCCAAGTTGAGCAGGCATTGGGGTAACTTGAGAAGCAGAGGAAAGGGGAAGCTGCTTCCTCATCTCCCAAGCCCTATGACCCCACAGGGGTAAAGGGTACAGTGGGGGTGGGGCTGAGCTAACTTCTTCCCTGTCACCTTACCACGAAGGCTCAAGACTTTCCTGACTGATAACCCCAGGCCTACCAGTAGCAATCTGAGGCTTTGTGAGCCCTTGGGGACATCCAGAGGACAGATAAGGGACCAGGCCTAGCTGGCTAGGTAATCCATGACTGTGTCCCCCACCCTCTACCACCAGCTGAACCATGCACCCCAGGTCTCTGACTTTAGAACCACTCATCCCCACTTGCCATTTGAGCCAGCTTGTTCTAGGGTCTTTCCTCTCTATGCTCAATCAAGGTAGCACCTGGGTTCAGGGTACCCACACTCCTCTCCCCAATACCCACCTGGAATGCCTCCCCTCCCCCAACCCCATTTCTTTCTAGGACTTGAGTCTCTCCCCACCAGGCCTCCCCTTCACTCGTGTGATGAGACCTCCACTTCCTCCAGGGTTGCCCAAGCTGGGGTTGGGGTGACAGACCTCCATGGATAAGCCACCCAACATCTTCCTACCTGGGAAGCCAGTTCTTGAGAGGAACATCAATCTTGCCGATCTGGCTTGTTTTTATCCTTCACAGTCCCTCTTAATGACACAAATCTTGGCCACAGTTGGAAAGCCTGGGGCATGGAGAGCAAGAAATGTTTCTGCTTG